TAATCAAGGTAACGTGTTTTATCAACACGTGGTTCAATATTGTTACCATAATCAAGGTAACGTGTTTTATCAACACGTGGTTTAATATTATTACCATAATCAAGGTAACGTGTTTTATCAACACGTGGTTTAATATTATTACCATAATCAAGGTAACGTGTTTTATCAACACGTGGTTTAATATTGTTAGCATAATCAAGATAACGTGTTTTATCAACACGTTGTTCAATATTGTTACCATAATCAAGGTAACGTGTTTTATCAAAACGTGGTTTAATATTATTACCATAATCAAGGTAACGTGTTTTATCAAAACGTGGTTTAATATTATTATTACCATAATCAAGGTAACGTGTTTTATCAACACGTGGTTTAATATTTTACCATAATCAAGGTAAACCACGTGTTGATAAAACACGTTAATATTATTACCATAATTAAGGCAACGTGTTTTATCAACACGTGGTTTAATATTATTACCATAATTAAGGTAACGTGTTTTATCAAAACGGGGTTTAATATTGTTACCATAATCAAGGTAACGTGTTTTATCAACACGTGGTTTAATATTGTTACCATAATCAAGGTAACGTGTTTTATCAAAACGTAGTTTAATAGTTTCTGTATATTTCAGACTGAGGTGCCTACATTTTGTAAGAGGATTCTTTGTGATCAGGTACATTTTATTTATTCGTAATTATTAAGCAGTTTCTGTTTTCAACAGTTGGTTGTCCAAGAAGATTTATTTCTTGTCAACGTACTGACTGTCCTTAAATTTGAAGCTTCTAAAAATCTGATGAAGTTGCGACAACCTGTCAACAAAGACAAGTAAGTAAAGAATTATTGTTAGATTCTATGGAATAATATCATTGTTGACCGTGTTTTACCAGTCATAATGTATAATTATTGTTAGATTCTGTGAAATAATATTATTGTTGACCGTGTTTTACCAGACATAATGTATATTTGTTGTTAGATTCTGTGGAATAATATTGTTGACCGTGTTTTACCAGACATAATGTATAATTATTGGTAGATTCTGTGGAATAATATTGTTGACCGTGTTTTACCAGACATAATGTATAATTATTGTTAGATTCTGTGGAATATTATTGTTGACCGTGTTTTACCAGACGTAATGTATAATTATTGTTAGATTCTGTGGAACATTATTGTTGACCGTGTTTTACCAGACATGATGTATAATTATTGTTAGATTCTATATAATAATATTGTTGACCGTGTTTTACCAGACATAATGTATAATTATTGTTAGATTCTATTATTGTTGACCGTGTTTTACCAGACGTAATGTATAATTATTGTTAGATTCTGTGAAATATTATTGTTGACCGTGTTTTACCAGACGTAATGTATAATTATTGTTAGATTCTATATAATAATATTGTTGACCGTGTTTTACCAGACATAATGTATAATTATTGTTACATTCTGTGAAAAATTATTGTTGACCGTGTTTTACCAGACATGATGTATAATTATTGTTAGATTCTATATAATAATATCGTTGACCGTGTTTTACCAGACATAATGTATAATTATTGTTAGATTCTATTATTGTTGACCGTGTTTTACCAGACGTAATGTATAATTATTATTAGATTCTGTGAAATATTATTGTTGACCGTGTTTTACCAGACCTAATGTATAATTATTGTTAGATTCTATATAATAATATTGTTGACCGTGTTTTACCAGACATAATGTATAATTATTGTTACATTCTGTGAAATATTATTGTTGACCGTGTTTTACCAGACATGATGTATAATTATTGTTAGATTCTATATAATAATATCGTTGATCGTGTTTTACCAGACATAATGTATAATTATTGTTAGATTCTGTGGAATAATATTGTTTACCGTGTTTTACCAGACGTAATGTATAATTATTGTTAGATTCTGTGGAACATTATTGTTGACCGTGTTTTACCAGACATGATGTATAATTATTGTTAGATTCTGTATAATATTATTGTTGACTGTGTTTTACCAGACATAATGTATAATTATTGTTAGATTCTGTGAAATATTATTGTTTACCGTGTTTTACCAGATGTAATGTATAATTATTGTTAGATTCTGTATAATATTATTGTTAGACCATGTTTTACCAGACGTAATGTATAATTATTGTTAGATTCTGTGAAATATTATTGTTGATTCCACAGAATCTAACAATAATTATACATTACGTCTGGTAAAACACGGTGGTAAAACACGGTCAACAATATTATTATATAGAATCTAACAATAATTATACATTACATCTGGTAAAACACGGTAAACAATAATAAACGTAATGTCTAATTATTTCAAAATATAATGTGTGACACACACAAGTTGATCAAAATTTTAAATTTGTTATTTACCCTATAACTATGAGTGTGAAAACAAGATGACGTCATTTCTTGTCAATAAAATTTAAACGTTTCATATCTACTCATCTAATGAAGTTTCAGATAATCCAAATGTTTACATTAAGTTGCTGGAGATTAATATGTACATAGGGTTTTGGTATGTAAATAAGTAAGGCCTAGATTATAAGTATAAAACTTAATTTACCGTCATGTAGATCTCGGTAAACCTCACCTTTAATATACTACATTTATATGTGGAATATTATGTTTTATTTTTGTTTTTAAGACATAACTACAACTTAATTAATGCTCAAGTAGTTGTACTCTGTCCGATTAGTTATACTGTCTGTCAAGAGATGGCAGCAAGGTACTTTGTTCTAATGAACTACCCGTTTCCGTAATTTGAGCTGATTTAACTAGGAAAGTCCATTAGAGTTCTTGTTCCCCGTAGGTGGATGACAGAACCTGCCGTTGTGAACGCTTTCTACAATCCAAATAAAAACGACATTGTGTTTCCAGCCGGAATCCTTCAGCCATTGTTCTACAGTCACTATTTTCCTAAGTATGTTCTATGGCAAACTATCTTATAATGATATTTATAAATTTTTAGTATGTATAAATTGAAATATATAACAAGACGATGTTTGATCAAAAAGTTGGTTATGACCGTCAGATGTTATCATCTTCTACAGTATGGTTTTCCACGGAGAGTAACTGATATTTAGTGCTAACTCAACGTTTGACACGATGTATCGATTTTAATATTTTGATATCATTTTAAATACATAATCCGCCAGAGAATGGGATATGTAGTGTCTTCGTACTTCAGGAACTCCGAAACTTACATGTCGTATTCGCTTTTAATGAAGCACCCATTTAACTTACGATCAGTATGAAGTTTTGAAACAACTATTTGTGGAATAATGGATTTATTTCTGTACAACGTTTCATATCTAACAGTGAGACGTAATCACGTACAGTATTCAAAACTTTATATTACTGGTCCTATGGTAACCTGTATACCAACATGCTCATAAACTTTCAACTAATCTTAAGTAGATGGCTATTAACCCTTAGGCCATCTTCTAAATGTTACTTTTTATATTTTTTATTTATTTTTTTCCATAACAAGGAAATAACAGTGGAACCGGGTTAGAGAGTAATTAATTTCTACATTCAAAATGTTGGATATGACGCAATGAAAAGAGTTCCTATAATTGTTTAGGTATAGAAGCTCGTGTATGTAATAATGTTGGTTTTATATAACTGATTATGACATTTAATGAACAACAACTTACGTAACTTCAGAGGGTTTCGGATCACTTTTACGATCTATTCTAAATCGTTTTGTAACGTCATCTGGCGGTAAAGATTGTAATAAGGCGAAATATTTCAAATAGCATATGCTAGATTAACATTATGTTTGATATATATTAGGATGGAGTTGTTTACCTTTTTCGTGAATTTGGATAGTTCTATATTCATTAGATAATTTAAACCCGTAAAACATGGACTTTCGGACTCTAGCAACGTGTTTTAAATGTATTTTATTTTTGCAATTAGTTTTGTGATTCATGTCAGGAATTAGTTTTGTTATAACAACTTTCATATTTTAACTATATCGAGCCATTTCTGTACTTTTATCTTCAAATAAATATATTTAAATTTAGATCACTGAACTACGGAGGAATTGGTGTGGTTATTGGCCACGAAATTACACATGGATTTGATGACAAAGGTAAGAAAGTTAGGGTTAGAGTATTAAATTATTGGCCACGAAATTACACATGGATTTGATGACAAAGGTAAGAAAGTTAGGGCTAGAGTGTTAAATTATTGGCCACGAAATTACACATGGATTTGATGACAAAGGTAAGAAAGTTAGGGTTAGAGTATTAAATTATTGGCCTGGCATGGCCAGGTGGTTAAGGCACTCGACTCGCAATCTGAGGGTCTCGAGTTCGAATCCCTGTCACACCAAACATGCTCGCCCTTTCAGCCGTGGGGGTGTTATAATGTGGCG